TTAGTTAATTACAGTTGTAGGGTTTACCTGTGAAAGCAAACGCCTGGAAATAAATCATGGCTTGTGCAAACGCACACTTCTGGTAAACGCATGCTTCTCAATGAAGCCCTTATGTCTTCAGGGCAAGGGTCCCTGAACCCCGCAATTCCTTCAGGGCGGTATCCCTGAAGATCCGATTCTTGTCAGGCCGGAAACCCTTAATCTTCTGTTTCAGCCCCACTCTGATTGATAAAAGCATGATCTGTGGCCCCGAAGGCCATGTCCATGCACTTCCTCGATCGAGGTTTTCTTCGTGTCAGGTTAGCTGGCATGATCGTACAAGGGCCATCCAAGTTCAGATGCTCGATCTTCGACTCACAATCGTATGGACGATCAAGGTTATCAAAGCCCTATAATTATCGAGCATCGTTTTATATAGGAATGAGGGAAGGTCAGGATAATTGCAATTCCTACAGCCTGCATGGCCTTCATGTGCTTACGTGCGCTTCGCCTTTCTGATGAACTTCCCCAGCGGCCGAACCGGCATGCATTCGACTACAAAGCTTGCTTTTTCTTCGCGCTGACCGATCAGCATAGCCGAGCCCGACAGCCGCCAGGTGAGAGGATGCCAACAGCAGCGCCTGGCGGAGAGATGCGGACAGGTGCGCGCCCCTTTGCTAGCTCTGCTCTGTGTCTGGGTCGATTTGTTACGGGAGTCTGCATGCAGAGAGATTTGTTCGCAGTTGGGGTTCAAGGTCACAATGGCTGCGTGCGTGGCACAATTCTCTTTCCTGTCATGCTGTGGCGAGTGGGAGAAGCATCGAGCATTGCGAAAGCGCGCGCGGTCGCGAGGTATGCTGGTGATAGATTGCAAGAACAGGAACCACATAGCCCCGACCCTCGGGAACATGAAATTGAATCACGTGGTTCTCAAGCCTTTCACACAGGCTATGGCCAAATACGGGAGAATCTCCAAACCTATTGCATTGATCAAGGAAGCGGTCCGTGCATTCTACGATTCGGAGTCAGAGCCGGTGCAAGAGAAGCCTGAGACTATGGATATGAGACTTCGTAAAGAAAAGAATATATCCAGAACAGCAGAGGCAATCAAGTCTATGTTGACCATCGTCAAACGAAAGTGGACGCTGTGGGAGATTCCACGTGTGCCATGGACACAACATAAAATATTTTGTCGAGATTCCTGTTTTCACGGATCAATTAATTAATTTAAAGTCTTATGCATGCATGCAGGTCCTACGTGGCAGTTTAAGCAGGCCTATGCAGCATATAAGATATAAACCCTGCGACATGTAAGGAAGAAGAGCTCCGATCCATGGTTTTCGATTTGTCTACAGCATACACAACTGCGTACAACGACTCTGAAGCGAAGATAGCATGTTTTTGTTGTGGTTGCATGCCCTAGTTACACGTGCAGTCTTGCCACATGTTTGTATGATGCTTCGATGCCTCCATTTGCTCAATTTAGGAAGGTCGCTGCGCGCTAGCCAAGACACCGAAGAGGTGCAAGGAAACAGTCGGGGGCTCCAGTGTTGGAGACGACGGTTCCGAGGACAGCATGGGCGACGACTCGTCGCTCCGAGAGAGCCTGCAGGGTGCCCTCTCGAGCCGCAATGCCAACTCTCCTTTGGAGTTGTGCTTGAAGGCCCCACCGCAGGCCGAGCTGGAGCAACTCTTAGGATTTTCCCTTGACCCTGCAACATACAAGCGTATCTTGCGGCAAGATGGTGGGGAGAAACAGAAGCATCCAGAATCCCGGGTGGAGCAGGATGCGGCTCCAAAGGAAGCTGAGGGTGCGGCTACCGAGGGAACGCTTGATCTTATGAATCAGCTGGCTGCTTTGGATCCGCCCGAATTGGCCATGCCGGTCCAGCCCGTACCCGAAACCTTGAACGAGCCCGAAGCCGCCCTAGCCGACGAGAAGCCGGCACGCACTCCCGAGAAGCCTCCGGCTCCGATTGGACCCCCATTGTCCCCTGGAAGCCCTGTCGAGCCTTGTATGCATGCATGTAAAGTTAATATGACCACGATTTGTGTGTGTGTGTGCTTGCATTTGCTTTCCCAGATGTGCCCTATTGACTATTTAAGGAGATTCTTGGCTTCAAGCCAGCGCCCGTCCGTGCTACCGAGCTGCCTCGTACAGGATTGGCTGCCCAGCTTTCAGCGATGGACCCCAAGAAGCTGCGTCAGGTTTTGGCCATCGTCAACCAGAAGCTTCATGTCAGTTGATATGTCTATTTCTACATGCGTGCATGCCTATCATGCAACAGCTAGGGTCTATTTGCCAGCATAAGGGTTGACCGTCTGAGGTTGCAAACTTCGCAGAAGAATCTGTTCGAAGCTGAAACTGATGCTGCACGGCGCAAGCTGAATTTTGATGCGAACTCTGACGGCGAGGGATCAGTGGGATCGACGTCAGCCGGCAGTACAAAGTCGACGGGCGACATGATTGCACGATGTGATATATAGCTGCGTGTGCTAAAGTGCATGTCACACGTTGTATGATAGTGCAAAACCGATGAATGTATCACGTGCGGTGATGAGGTTCAGCTCCCGACTGCGTGGACACGCAGTCCTGGGAGGTTGAGCCCGCAGATTATGTGCAAGCATGGCTTCAGTCTGCACGTGCTGAGCATCAATTTCGGCTAGAAGAATCCATAGCTGCGAAGAAAGCTGAAGATCGAGAGAGAGAGGCATTGAGGGCAGCAAGAGCTGCAGAGAGGGATGCATCAAGAGCTGCAGAGACGGAGGCATCAAAAGCTGCAGAGAGGGAGGCATCAAAAGCTGCAGAGAGGGAGGCAGAGGAATCCGCAAGATTGACTGCTCGGATCACCAAGCGCGAGCCTCTGTCAGAGTCGGTCGAGTCAGTTACCAGGCAAGATTGGAGCTCATGCAAATTATACCATGTGGTCTAAAGCCAAGTCGGCCAAGTCTGTGCAATAGATGTTGCGCCCAGGCTGTTGTAAATCTGCGTGCAGCTCGATCTATTTAGCTCTGTTCTAGGTGATGCTGTGGTGATCCGAGGCTGCTGCATTGGTGGTGACACGTCAGGCCCAGCTCGCTTTGACTGCCAAGAAGAAGGCCAAGGCCCCTGCGGAGATGCCTGTTCCGGAGGACGAGGTCTCTGAGGATGGAGCCGAGGGTTCAAGGCGAGGGTGCGGTCGGCCCCCAAAAAAGGCCGCGGCAAAAGCCTCGGGTTCCAAGGACAAGCCGCAGCTTGTGCGGAAGGCCAAGGGCAAGAGCGATGGTTCTGATTCGACGGGCAAGGTCGTGGGTGGCAAGCCGAAGCCGGGGAGTTTGAAGCGGAAGCTGAGCAAGCGCAGCCTTCTGCGCAACAAGAAGTTGAAGAAGGCCAGTGGCAAGGCAGATGCTCCTGACGACGCGACGGTCTACTACAGCGACGAGGAAGCCCACGGGGCGGATGATGCGTGGGAGGAGCCTCAGGAATGGGAGTGGACAGCGGAGGAATGGGCCGCATGGGAAGCTCAGCGTGCTGAGGCTCCTTCGAAGCGTGTTCGGCAGAAGTCCAAGCAGGAAGAGGAGCCGATGCCGGACGGCGACGCCGACGAGGATGAGGATGAGGAAGCGGACGAGAATGCCATCATCTTCGCGCGCAGGTACTGCCCATCCCGGCCGTGGTTCAAGGCCAAATTCTGGGGCATCAAGGAAGCGTACGATGCTCGCATCCGACCATTCGTGAAGGCCCCCGGTAAACAGGAGGACAATCTTCGTGAATGCTGCTGTCTAGATTGTTGAGCTGTTGCTTTCTGCTCGGTAGGTGTATATGATCTCCATGGTTCTGCAGGACTTCTTCTGGAAGTATGTGGCCCAGGCTACAAGCGAGGAGCCGGTTGAAGATGAAAAGGATTGGCCCACGACAGCTTCGCAGCTTACTTTGCCTTTCTTGCTGGATGACGATGTGAGTGACTTGCCATATATATATTGCATGCAGGCACTCTATAAGATTACATTTTCCAATCTCTGTGGCATTCCAAATCTGCAGGCAAGAAATGGACCCAACAGGGGGAGAAGCTCTTTGGTAAGGGCAAGAAGCCCACACGCAAGCAGTACGAGACCGCGATCAAGAAGTGCGCAGCTGACTGATGTGTTTATCGAGTGGCTTAGCACTGCATAGCTACAGCAGGGGGACCTGGGGTAAAGAACCTCCTGCTTCGTATGCATCGCAAACTTTCGGCCTCGCCACGCTGATTTTGGATTGCGGGGCAGCCAGCACCTGGATCAAACTAGACCCACAATCGAAAATAATTCGGTTCGGTTACTACGTAGATTAAGTTTAATTGATCTATTCTATGACTACAATGGCCTCCTTGAAGCCTCAAGCTGCACACTTTACTCGCAGGGTTGGCTGCCTTGAGCTAATCAGAGACGGATCCCCCCGCAACTTTTGTGATTGTGCTCCTGCAGTTCCAATGCAAGCATCGATCATGCTTCGCAGCCTTCCCGCAGAATGAAAAAAGATCGGAGCCCGTGCTCTGCGTGTGCAGGTCTGTAGCCAACAACATTCACGAACACACTCACGCACACGCACACACACACTCTCTCTCTCTCTCTCTGTGTCTCTCTCCTGTCTTTGTCTCTCTGTCCATGGTTCTGCGAAGACTGCGAAGATCTTTCTTTGCGTCAAACGAAGTTAGAGCTTCTTGCAGCCGAGAGCCCAATCCAAGACACCTGGTTTAAGCCCCATGCAGAAGCTTCGCGCAGGTGATGCCGCCTCGTCGTCGTGATCCTTCGGATGCAGACAGCCAGGAAACTCCCGCGTCAGAGTCAGGCACAATCGGAAGGGGAGGCAGTTGCAGTTAAGTGCGTTGTCGGGACATCGTGAAATAGTATGGGGTCCGATGTGTTAGAGCACCTTTGCATATGACTGCTGCATGGCACTCTGCTTCACTGTCCGGCATGCAAAGCTGTACAAGAGCATGTGACTGGAGCCATGTCCATGTCAACTTCGATCGCTTCCCTAGAGCAACGTCTGGTTCCAGCCGAACCCCGCCGGTCCTCGTGCCCCGACATGCAGCTTTACCGGCTTGTTGAAAACCTCATGGAGCTTCAAGCTCCGAAGGCCAGTTGGGGATTTGTTGAAGTGTGCCTGTGTGTGCAGTCCGTGTCACGAAATATTAGCACCAGTATAGTTATGATACTCCCGATGTACTTGGTCGATCGCCCTCTACTCTGCAGAGCTAGAATTATAAACAACTATATGCATGATTATATGTCTGCGCACCTTCTGTACCCGGCACAGGTCTTCATACTGGCTGTGCTATGTCTACTCTTCAACGAGCGGCTCTCCTCCGAGCGGGACTGCACCGTACACGCGCTTCTCATGTCGGGTCAGCTTTTAGGGTTCATTCTGTTTTGAAGGAGTTTGTCTTCCTGGAGCATTATGCTGGTCATGGAGCGATGTCTCGTGAGATCAGCAAGATGTACGAGAAGTCGACAGCCAAACTAGACATTGAGTATCACCGGGGCATGGACATCCTCTCTCCAGCAGGGTTTGCGTTCGAGACTTATATAGAGCAGTGCATGCAACTACAATCCCACCCAATCTTGAGTATGATCCTGCTTCACCTTTATAAACCCTATATAGCCTATAGTGTGTAAGCTCCCGGAGCCCAGGTTGCACATTCTGTCCGTGCTCAAAGGAAGTCGTTCCGGCTTCACACTGTGGCAAGGCTTGCAATGCAGCAGCTGGGTGTCCATATGTCGAAGCAGCACTAGAAGATCATTCTTGCACCCGTGCGGGAACACAGATGCCCCTTCTGTACGTATGGGGAATCAACAGCTCTGCAGGACCCATGCATGTATATGTTTATGATCGCCAATCGATTGTTATTTTAGGTGACTCTTCGAGTCCAGTCTAGAAACCCGGCCCCGATAAACCCGGAAAGTTTTCATAAACCTTTGTCAAACCCGGCATCTAAAGCCCCTAAACCCTACGAGCCCTCTCAACCTATATGTATGTAGGGGCCCTGGCTTTGGCACTCGGAGATGTACAGCTGACGTCTTGCCTCGGTAGGACGATTCTCATTTCATTGTTGTGCGTGGCCATGCAAGCTAGCTGGGTTATCGAACAACCTGGTTCGTCCTTGATTTGGCGTCACCCTCGTTTCCAGTGGCTATGTCGCACCCACAAGGCAAAGGTGCTTGCAACTAATCTTGTACATCCGTAGAATTAATCTCCCAAAATCCTAGACCGATCGTAGAATCCCCGGCATCGACTCTCCAACCCTGCAGGTGTATAGATGCCGCTTCTGGATGATGCACTACAACCATGACTGTCCTAAGAGAACTGCCTTGTGGAGCTCCAACCCGAAAGTCTTGAAATTCGACAAAGGACCATTGAGTTCTACTTTCAAGTGCAAGCAGCGAGATCTTCATGGTCATGTTCGTCCTGTAACTCGTAAGGTTGGGAAAGACGGCAAGCAGACATTTACTGGAAATCGTTCGTTGAAAGGAACTCAGACACGGCCTCAGTTGTGCATGCATGCATGCATATATATATAAGCTAGGAACCCTACTGTTTTAGGGGTTGTTTCTCTCGCACCTTTTACGTACGTGATATCAAGCCTAAATGCAAAATAACCGTAAAAATAACGAAGCCCATGCGTTTCGAACCCCCGTCCCAGGGCCTACACTACAACCTTTGGTCAACGTATGGCCGAGCTTCTGCCCAGCTTCAACGAGTCCCCGGCATTGCGCCCAAGCTCCATGGTGGATTCCTTGACTATTGCTAAGCTTCAGGCTATGAGTATGGGCACGGACGATTGGTGTGACGCGGGTGTTCCAGACTTGCTGCGGTATGTCTACGGGGCTAAAGGTCTGAACATCCCTCAGGCCTGGAAATGCTGCTTCCCCGCAAGTCATTTTGCATAGACGTCTCGACCCATGCTGCTGGCATACAACAATAAACCTTAAGATAACAAATGCTGCATGCAGGTATACCAATCCAGCTAATGTTGATTATAGCTAGCTGCTAGAATTCTACGCAATTCTGCACTAGCTAGCTAGCTGAACTCAATTAATCCATCCTCATCGAGCCTTTGTCTGTGTGTGTGTGCCCGCGCCGATTTATCTGGAGGTCGTCATGCGTCTTTACAATTCGGAGTGCAGTTGTGACTGCAGATTGCAACCACGTGGATGTTCCGTCACCTAGTGTCTCGATCCCTGAATTATTTTAATCTTCGTGCCCCTTTAGGAAATATATATTGTTTACATAAAGCTGGGGTTGTACTCGCGTATCTTAATATATATTCTACGGGTTATATCATCTCGATCTACAGACTCTAGAACGATCTGTTTCCGGACTTTGTGTCGGTATAGTGCATCACTTTTCTAGCTAGGGAGCTATTTCGGGTTTAGCCTAGGGTCCTATAGTTTATTGAAGAGATAGATCGAAATGTATAGTTCCCTTCGCTGAGACTGGAATGTGTTCACTGCAGAAAGCTCTGCACATGCTTGTACGCGACTCATGTGACATGCCTTGGCATGTGTAGAAGCCTGTATCCCATGGGTCTCGAGTCTCCGTCTTTAGATCATCGATCTAGACTATATACATGTTAAATTAATATGCACACAGGCCCATATGCTAGCTCGTATACAGGCCCCAAACCCCAGAAATGGCCTCAAGAAGACCTATAGGGTCCCCAAGTTTTGTCGTGAGCTGAATGACACGCGAGACCCTAGATCTGCAAATGCTATCCGAAGCCTGAAGAAGTCGCCCGTGTGATATAAACCCTGAAATCTCTGTAATTGCAAATAATAGGAGCCCGGCCACATCAAATTGCACAGTAGTCCTGTACGCCGACAAAGTTCCAGGACGACCTTACACCTGCTCACGTTTCCAGAAGATTTGACATTGCAGAGCTGTTTGTAGTGCCGGTCGACCTACAGTCCAGGGAGGGCCCATGCAAAATATCCCGTATGTAGCTGCTTGCCGGGAACGGCATTCATTCGATCTTTGGCTGGGTTGACGTACAATATACACCTTATAAACCCTAGCTAAACGTACCATATTACAATTGTATATATACCCTATAAACCCTATATAATTTGATACCCTATCTAAACCCTATAAACCCCTAAACCCCCATAAACCGTGGTCCTACCTGGGCTGAACTGCGTGCCACAAGGATGCATACATCTGTCCAGTTGCTAATAGTTTCTGCATGGAGGCTCAGGTAGCTTGGGTCCGCTTTCTACAGAAGGCTGCTGGCCTGCCTGGGATGCACCTGCCTGTAGCTCGCTCGTCGTGCTAAACAGAAGCCGTCTGGGGAACATATGGCCGGTGGCTATAGATTTTAATTTTTATATATAGAAACCATGCATATGATCGATCGATCCTAGTCAATGTCATATGGGAAAGTATATAACTCTTCCCATGGATCATATACATGCTATGGGGCTGCTGCAATTGGTTGCTTCCTTTAGCTCGGGTGCTGTGCAAGGCTACTACTCGGTTCATGGAGCAAAGATGCTGTATCGGGATATGTGCCGGGAACAGTTCTTTAGGCCCTTTCCAGTTATTTTGTTGTCTGACTTTATAATAGTTCAGCGCAACAAGAAGGCTGGCCCTGTATATTAAGCCGATAGGTTGCCAGCCTCGAGGATATCATCTCAAGTCGTGCCACCTCGAGCCGAGGGGAACTAATTTGGATTATAGGTATATATAATTATTGATCCAGCTCGTCATCTTCAGGGCTTCTATTGCTCATGTTTCGAAATAATTTCCTTGCTTGGTTGCGTTCTGGGTGGGGGGTCATTTCCGGCCATGGTCTAGTCTAGCCTAGCCTGTGTGATAGCTTCGTGCCTGGGTCGGGCTCCTAGCTTGCACACAAAGGAAGCTAGCCAGACTTGTTGTCCGTTTCGTTTTGGGAAAGCTATAGTATATATATTATATATATATATATATGTATACTATATATCTCATGCAATAGTTATATATAATAGCTGTGGGCTTGCAGGGCTATGCACATCATATAAATACGGGCCTGTGGGAAGCTTGGGGCTGTGGGTTTCAATTTAAATTAGCCGGGCTGCTACCTACGTGGGGATTTGGGCTCCTATAGCTGCAGATTAATTTTATAGGTGCGGCCGGCCTCCTGAAAGAATTCTTGGCTGCGGGGATCTGTGCTGCAATAGGCCTTGGATAGGGTTTTGGGTTGCGGGCTTTAGACTGGCTGCGGGCTTCGGGGCAGTGGGCTTCAGAGGTCGCGGGCTTCAGGCTTTTCAGTTGCGCGGGGCTTTAAAGTTGGACTGTGCGGATTTTATATAGGGTCTGCGGTCTTCAGGGCCTGCGGGCTTCAGGGTTGCGGGGCTCGGGCCTGCAGGGTTTTACGTGGGATTTAAGGCTGCGGGGCTTTATTTTAAAATTTGTATAGGGCTATATACAGGACATGCGTTTTTTTCAGGGATGTGGGGTTTAGGGCCGTGGCTTTCAGAGTTGCGGGCTTCAGGGTATCATTGTCGAGGCCTCCAGAGGGCTTGCAAGCCTATATAATACCATTCAGGCTTCTGTTTGCTGGCCCTGTGCATTTCAGGGTTGCGTGTTTCAGGTTCGAGTGGTGCCCAAAATGCACACCTTTCAGGCCTGAAAGTCTTTAGTGTTATCAGAATATACGTAGCACCGGGCTTGGGCTGCAGATTTTCAGGTCTGTGTACCGTAAAGGTGACTTCTGGCTCGGATCAGCGGGGCTATGAACGGCTTTATGTGGTTAAGTAGAAAACACGCAAAAAAGAAAAATCCAAACAGACACTTTTCGGCACGCAACCAGCACTCTTTGGCACGCAACCAGCGCTATTTGGCACGCTACATCGGTTTCTGTTTTGGGCTGGTTTTTGAGCCGCTTTTGCGCACTTTTAGGCACGCAGCTCCGCAGTACGCAGGGTTGATCGACAATGGCCCTCAGCAGGGACACGCACTCGGCCGAGACGTTGGCTTCCGGATTGTCGTTTCTGTTGCGCAGAGCTTCTTCGAGTGGTGCTGTGGATGATCTAAAGCAGATAGCCAAGGAAGCCTTTGTTGTGTGCAACACATGGAGCGATCTCATCGTTTGGCATCACTAATGATCAATGCTGTTGGTTTGTATACACCTCGACCCAGCTTGTTAAGTGCATACATACAGCACTAGAAAATTCCTCCATTCATCCTCACGCAGGACCTGACTACTGCTATTTCGGTCGCCGAAGCCGAGATGAAGACCGAGCCCGCGACGGACTCCCAGCTGGACCAAACGGTGCTGAAGCCGGTGCCTGGGAATGCAATCGATTTCACTTCGGATCAGGCTCATCGGGTCCCATGCACAGTCTATCTGTTCTCGATCGATCGAAAACGAACCGGTATTTCTGCGCACATATTTGTGTGCATGGATCTATATACACGTGACCATAGTCTGTTTGCGGGGCATACACACACGCACGCGAAAAATCTCGTGGATTGCGTGCTCTCTCTACGTATGTGCACATTGAGAGAAATTAATCTCCATGTACCATATTCTTATATATATATATATATATATATATATATATATATGCATCTTGCATGTGTATATGCATGCATGCATCGGTACACAATATGCATGCCTGCATGATCTATCTATAGCTATATCTATAAACCCTAAACCCTAAACCCTAAATTGTGATCTAGCATGGACAATGATGTGAGGTGAAGCAGGAGCCAGGAGTTCCCCAGCCGCTGCAGAGAATGGACACCGGGACGTCCCTGCCCTCTCCAACATCTACAACACCGCCTCCTTCCTCACAGGCGCATGCGAACCTTCAGCAGGCCCGTTAGTTAAACCAAAGATTTCCAAACAAGCTTTGTGTATGCATCCCTGCACAGCTATACCACTCACGTAGATATGTACAAAGGAGCTGATCTACAAGATGGAGATGTTGAAGGCCACGGTGACGGCACAGCAGGAAGAGCTCCTGAAGCTCCGTTCTGCCCAGCCGAGCCAGGATCGATCATATGAGTGTGCATGCAAACCCTTGCTCGTTGATCACACAGAAAGATGTCTGAAACATGCGTGCGTACACATCATATACATGACCGCAATGTACATGCATGTTTGTGTGACCACGATGCCAATTTTGTGATGTCAGCCCGATTTTGCCCATACTGCAGGAACCCCAGCAGGCACCGGAAGTGCCTGCAAAGGCCGACAAAGTGCCAAAGACCGGGGCCACGGCAGGCTGTGCTGCGCAGGTCGTTGAAAGCCCGACTCCCCGTGGTTCGAAGCGCTCCCATCCGATCACCCCAAGCACGACGCCGACCAAGCCAAACAAGCCCGACTCCCGGACTTCCAAGGACAACCCAGCTCAGGCTGACTCTGATGACGACGAACCCCCCAAGGTCCTGAACTTCGCGGATATGACGAAGTTAGAGAAGGAGAAGGTGCGGAGGATCGTGTCGCCCAAAAAAGGGACAGGGAACCTTGAGGTTCCTGAGAACATCTTCGAGATGTGGAAGAGCGCCGGCAGCAGCAGGGACAAACTGTTCCGTATGTGGTGTAAGTCTGGGGGTGTGAAGGCAGGGGCTGGCCCAAACAAGTTATGATTTCCTTTTCTGTTGTTATGGAACTTGAACTTTTTAGGGTGTGTGTACGCGTTTCATCCCTCAGGCCGTATTCATGGAATCCATTACTATCATGAGTCGAACGACACGAAGCAAGAAGCTGGAGGTGAAGGGCGGATTCTATAGTAGAGAGGACATGAAGACCGAGCTAGCCTACTCCCCGCTACTTAGCAGCAGCTCATTGTAACATGATTGGCCATAACGCCCCAAATTGCATCAACCAGCTGGCCTCATAAATCATCTCAGCCGCCCAGGGCCCGCATCGAGAAGATCGTCGCCTGGGCAGAGAAGAAGGGCCTCGTTCGGCCACTATGCCTGCAGTATATGCATGTCTCTGTTGACGCACTATGGTAGCTGTTCAAGTATCCCGTAGCTGTCACGTGCAGGACTGACTATCGTAGGTGTTGTTCATTCGTTTATGTAGCGCTGTGTGTACATATGCATGTAGCATATACTGAACTTCGATCTGTCCACTAGGCCGGCTATAGGCTTATGATTTTCCTGCATGAATCCAAGTCTCAGCTTGCAACTTTAGGCCGGAACCCGGAAGCTTTAGCATCATGACTCGGGTTTTGCGAGCAATCCTGGTTTAGGGTTTAGGGTTTAGGGTTTAGGGTTTAGGGTTTAGGGTTTAGGGGTTTAGGGGTTTAGGGTTTAGGGTTTAAATTAGGGTTTATAGGGTTTAGGGTTTATCCCGACTATACTCCCTACATGTATGGAGCTGTGCAGCTACACACATGCCACGATTGCAACTAAGAACCTGTGAGTACGACGACGAGACCCTCGAGTACTGGGTTAACACGAGGACCTCCGGGACCCTGACCAAGGAGGACCTGGAGCAGCTCGAGAGGAAGCAAAAGTTCGAGGGGGAGGGAGGAGATGAGGTGAACTTCAACCCGGCGGTTCAGCTTGATGGCTTTTCCTTTGACGACGATGACTCCATGATCCACAAGAACCCCAAGAACCTGGAGGGTGATCAGCACAAGAGTGCCCTAGGACTGCATGTCTATGTGACTCCTAGGATGTTAGCCCAGCTTGCTGCAACCATGGGTCTAGTTATACCGAAAGACGTGCCCTCCTTACTCATCTAAGGCTGCTTCCCAGATGAAGGAGCACATGAAACATGTGCTCAAGGCCAAGAACTCCCTGGACGGCTTTGTGGACAAAATCCGGCCCAGCGTGTCTGGGGATTCTAAGGCGACCCAGTGGCTAGCTGAAATTAATCTGTCGTGTGTCCAAGAGCCCGACTGACGTATATCGCCGGTCGTTGATTGTGCAATGCCAAGCCTCTCTCAGGACTCTCAAGAAAATGGATGCCCTGATCAAGGAGTATGAAATCTTGTACGAGGAGATGGCCGAACTCCAAGCGGAAGGGGGAGCCGGCGGCTATACCCAGAAGCCGGTGGGCGGCAGTTTGCAATCGTACGGGGGGTATGTGCGTGAGCTAGGGTACATGGCATACCAATTCCTGAAATACACAGTCCGTGCATGACATATCGATCCCTACAATCGTAAGCAACTCGATCATCTATGCAGTCGCGAATGCTACTTTTGCATATCTCCGGAAAGTATGTGTACATACATGCAGCATAGTATCCTCCGGACCCCTGTGTCCCTTACACCCAAGTTGAAACTCAACAAGACTCTTGAGAAAAGCTTGGGTTACCTGAGGCTGCAGGAGGAATGCAAGGTGCAGTTTCTGAAGGCTCAGAAACTGAAGCTTGGCTCCATTGGCTGGGACTAACTGACCTGCATTTCTGATCGAGTGCTTCTTGGGCATGATGATGATCGATCGAGAAATTAGATGAGCAAACCCAAACGATTTCAACCTGAAACACGACTTGTCGAGGATTGCTAAATCCACAGCCATGGAGGCCGCCAACAGGCTTCGCTCTCAGCAGACTTGAGTATGGGCTGAAGCTTTAAATTTTTAGATACATATAATGATATCGATAATAGATCTAGATAAGAGTACCTATATCTATAGATTGTCTAGATGTGCTATTATAATCGGTTTCTGTTCAGGGGTTTTGTGGTTATCGGGGGGATAGATTCAGGGGGTTTTCCTTGCTGTGAAATGCACTAGGGGCGGGTCGATGAAACAAACCTGCAAGACTACTACACTATACACTCCCTTCCTGAATTAGATCGATCGACCTCTATAGGAATGACCCACTATATATGGGACGTATTTTTTATCTTCTATAAGAGTATTTATATCGGTTGCAAGAATGATCGACCTGAGAAACCCACCTGGCCTTACAGGGTCGTAGCGCCTGCAAGCCCTGACTCTGACCGAGGCCAGCACTGTACTCCAGTAAGATGTTGCCGCCGTCTGTGCACAAATTATCCAGCTTGTAGACAATTGTTATCTTCGGTAGTTAAATCAACGGGAATGTATCTATATAAATGAGCGGAGAGTACTTAGTGCAAGAAGTCTCGTCATCTATTTCTTGACTTCCTGTGCCTTTAACTCTCTCCATATAAACAAGTATCGGTCTCACTCTCACCCACCCCCTCGCTCTCTCTCTCTCTCTCTCTCTCTACCTCTCTTTCTCTCTTGAACGCTCTCGCTCTCTTTCTCTCTCCGGCTTTTCATCCCTCTGTTTGTTTATCACATATACTGCACTACCAGTCTCTGTATCTTTCGTTCTCGCCCCCCTACTCTCCCTGCGGTTCTCTTCCCTCGCTTTCTCTTTCTCTTTCTCTCTCTGTCCTTGTGTCTCTCTGGCAACCTGCGATGTGTATTCTCAAACTATGACTCCGTCTCTGCCTCCCTCCTAATCGGTCTCTGTCTATCTCTCTCTCTCTCTCTCTCTCGGACCTACGGGACCTGTCCCAATAGGTTACTTCAAATCAGATGAACTAGTTGCGACGCAGCTTATGCTAGGACCGATCGATTCCCCACGTTTTTCAATGAAGTATTGAGTGACTTTTTATGATTGTAGTGCATGATTCCGTTTGCGTGTATATACAGGATAGGATGAATCCTCCCAGATACATTCTGAGGGTCACGCCTTAAGTTGCTGCCAATGTCTTTATAACTGCGCAGATAACATAGTAGTAGTTGATTTAGTATGATAATTCGGGCAAACCTAGAAGCTCTGCAGGCTTTTGGTGGGTACAATAGTATATAGCTATAGCTTCTTTGGATTTTTCCCTTGGCGGCCTTCTTTGGGTCGTCGGGTTTACTTGATCGGGATGCTGGATCGTGCCGTACTATTTAAGCCCTATATAGATCGATCCTATAAACCCTATAAACCCTATATATAAACCTAGCCCTATATAAACCCTATAAAGACCCCAAACCCCATAAACCCTATATATAAGCCCTAAAGTCCTGAACCCTGTAAAACCCTAAACCCTATAATAACAACAAACTGAAACCCCAAACCCTATAAAACCCTAAACCGGCTTCTATATAGGCAAATTAAATTGACTCAGCTCAGTCACAAACTACCCATCAATCCTATACAGCTGTAGAGGCCCACAGCCCCACCCCATTCCAAGCTTTAAACCCTCTCAGGTCACTGCTCACCCGGGCCCGGAAAGCGGCCAAGAAGGACGCCGAGTGAAGTCCAATCTCGGCGGTGGGATTGGACGTGGGGCTGTTGAATTTGATTTTGGTGCTTCGAACGCAATAGCTGCAGCGAAGCTTTCATTTTCGTATCAGTCCTGACATGTCCGTGTGGGATCGCCATGGACACTTCATGCCTATTGTAAACTTACATGCATGCATATGCATGTCTAGCAGGCAGGCTAGGTAAAGTAGCGGGTTTTCTGTTGCTACGGGGCCCACATGTGCAAGATAATCCACTGGGGTTTCTGCATGAAGAACTGCATAGGCAAGTTTACCACGGCATGATGTGTTTCGGTGTAGTTGCATCTGTGAAGGCCAGCGCCTCATAGGATGCATGGCACGGCCTGTTTCACACATGTGCTTTCAAATGAAGCGTGTGCCTTGAAGGCTCCGGCAGTCAGTAGACTATATGAACTATATATAGTAGCAGCTTTGTCGTTTGCTCTACGCAGGCATCATATCGTAGCCAGTTGGTTGCATACTTTAATTGCACCTAGCTTCAAAGTTCGGCTTGCTGAAGCCATCTACAATCTGCACACGCTGCAAGCGGCCCTCTCGCTTTCAAGAGAACAGTGGCATGATCAGGGGACAAGTGGTGACCGATGCAACTTCGACGCGTGAAATATCCTTGCTTGGGGCGAGCCCGGAAACTACATAGAGTCTGGTTTGCAAACTTGGGTAGGCCATCCATATACCCAGGGCTCAGAAGTCTCATTCTAAATGATAGGGCTGCCATGAATTGAACGCGAAAACAGAGTAACCTTATGAGTCAGATGAGGCCTGATCAATGTCAGAAGAGAATCACCAGCAGCCAACTCATCATTCAATTCTCCTGTCTAGAATCCCTGACAACCTAGATTTCCCTCTCGAAAACCAAGCCAGACCGCTTAGATCGCCCCGATGCCCTACATATATTCGTGCCTCTAGTGAAACTAATGCTTGATGTTATCTAGCCTCCCTGGATCAAAGTAGTATATGCATTATATATAACGCCCTGTCAGGCGACTACAGCACGCCCAGCATCAGCCGACAAGTCTACCAGATTGCCTGGAAATATGGCAAGGGTGTCGGGGCCCCAGCGGTCACGTGCATCCAGCGATCGCTTCCATCCTGATACGTTGCTGTTTGGCTGCTACATCAGGTTCAGGTGTGTGTGTGTGTGTGCTGCACGGACAAGTGCGAACCCAACTTAAGTCGAAACGTTATGGGATGCATCAGCCGCAGAAAGCACAACATGTTTAGGTCTAGATCTGGAACCCCTGGTGTCTCCTCATGGAAACAGCCAGAAAGCTGTCTATTTTCCCATGGAGTGAGTCTGAAGATGAAGAGATGCAAGAAAGTCCGGTGGACATTCAAATGGCTACCCCTACTTCACTGGCCTCTGCAAGCACTCAGCTTCCTGAGTCGCCCACCACGTCGCCAGGGCTGGAACACTCGATCCTGGATGAGAGGTTGATTTCCGAGACTGCTGTTGCTTCGCGCATTTTGTGGCATTGTGTCAATGTGATCAATGCAGTCCGGCGGGAGCACGGGGGCGATGCACTTTGTGTGTTTAAGATTGGCCTTACTTCCGATCCGTTTCAGCGCAGGAGAAGCTACGAGCAACAGAATTTCAAAGCCTTCGTTGTGCTACATAAAGTGTCCCAGCCAGAGCTGCTAGGGATGATGGAGATGCTGGAGGCTGCTCTGATAGCCGAGTTTCATGACAATGAACGCTGCTGCCGAAACAAACAACTCGGTGGGGAGAGCATGCGTAAGAAGGACTTTTCGCCTAGATTCCCACCTCCGTACTTTGCATACTGTGCCGCTACAAATGCTGCGCAGCGACAGCCCATCCTGGGATAGTATGTGTTATATGCATGAGCCCTGCTGCTCTGCTGCTGTGTGATTTCACACAGAGAAGCTTTAAAAGGCTCCTGCTCAGACTGCTCAGAAGAACCAGAAAAAGCCCGAGTGTACAAGCGCAGATGTTCACATGCACAGCTTCTGCTTGACTGCTGAAACGTTTGTTAGAATCTGCCCATCGCTGTGTGTGCGCATGCATTTGCAAAGTCCAGACTTTGCTGCGCCAAGGTCCCCGCCAAAGATCTGGTCATGGATGCCCAGGCCGCCATCAAGAAGGACGCCTGCGAGGTGCTGGCGAAGATTGCAAAGGTGCAGCTGTCTTGTGCCGATGCACCCCTCTATGAAATCTTGAGCAAGACTGGAATGACTTTGCCGATTGACTTTAGCTGGACTCCGGCCGGCAATACCTCTAGGTACCCCTTTCTGAAACCGAAGACCGTGCTGGAAACTTTGAGCGACCATGGCCGCTTTCATCGAGTGCTAGGGGTGCCTGTTCACTTGGCGTCTGAAGCTCTTGATCTGTTCTGGCAGAAGTTCAGAGCCCTCCACCCAAAGCATGACATATTCGAGAACTCCGAGAACCGGGACTTTCAGAAGCTCATCCCTTACTACTTACATGGTGACGGGGGGAGGGGCTACAAGAAGGAAGCTATCGAGATATTGTCCATGTTTCCAGCGCTTGGCACTGGGTCTAGGAAAAGACCTGTGGACTTAAGTTACAAGCGAACAGCAGCAGCAGAAATGGAGCTCGGCATCAATCTGCAGGGCAGCTCGGGTGCCACACGGTTCTTGTTTTCTGTTGTGAGCAGCTTGGTGGCTAAGAAGGATGGCAACGTATTCGATGATCTCCTTAGGGTTTGGAGTCGAGAATTAATGTTGCTATTTGATGATGGCTTTCAGGTTGCAGGGAGCACATGGCGCATCGCGATTTTGGGGTTCACTGGGGATTCCCCCTTTGTCAAGAAGGTCGCCAAAACGACCCGTTCTTTTCATAATACTCGTAAGACGCATTCTTCGAGGAACCTACAGAAGGGCTGCTGCTGGCTTTGCCACGCTGGCTACGAATCACCGGAGGATGGAATTCACTTTCCGTTTGAGCACATAGGCTTCACCCAGCCCCTATGGTTGCAGACAACCCGATTGCGAAACCCATTGCCGTGGGATGGCACTGGCGGCCCATTGCAGCCGAATGTGCTGTTGGACAGGGCCGATACCCCTGCAGCCTTTTACCGTGCAGATTTTTTTCACGTGTGGCATGCTGGAGTTGGCCTTGACTTCACTTCGAGCGCCCTCATCTACTCGATGAGGGTGGTGTTTGGTCTTGGGGGCGTGCAGCGGGACCTCAACGCCTTGAATGAATGTTTGAAGTCATGGAGTGCAAGAACGAAAAACAGGCTTTATTGTGGGCGTCTTACAGAGGACCTTTTGGGCTACAATGGAACACGGGAGTACCCTGAGGGAAAGTGGAGCAAGAACATGGATACGGCTACCGTGATGAAATTCCTTGTTTACTTCTTGGAGCGCCCTGAATCCCAGCAAAAACTTCAAGCTGATGACATCCTGCAGGATATTTTGGTGGCTGCAAAGGATATGGGCCAAGCAATAAGAATTTCCCTTCAGGCAGAACTTTTCATGTCTAGCGAGGATACCCGCAGCGTCGTCGATTGTGGGCACAAATTCCTCATGGGATATTCGGTTCTTGTGACGAAGTGCTACGAGCGGTCACTGTGCTTGTTCAAGCTTCGGCCCAAAGTGCACTACTTGAACCATATATTCCTTCGTTGTTACGAAGAGTTCAGAGCTGCAGGATTCGCGACGAATATTCTGGCGGAATCGACTTTCATGTCGGAGGATTTCGTGGGCCGCGCAGCTCGGCTCAGCCGAAGGGTTTCGACCCGGGCTGTCGCTGTGAAAACTCTGCAAAGATACTTGTTGCATATGAAGAGTGCGTTGGACAAGGAGGCATTCTCGATGATGGATTTGAGCATGTTCGGCTAAGTGACTTTGCAGCATTCATGTATGCACAATCAATTCTGCATCTTCTGCTAATCGTTCGATCGGCCTCATTAATATTTTGCGGATCTTTCTATAATGCAGCCCTATACCCCCAATACCCCTAAATCAGAACCTACGCGACCCTGCCCAGGTTCGCGCCTCGACCGTCGCAGGGCTTCGCCAGCGCCAAAACCACCAAAGCCGAGGGAAGGGTTTAGGGTTTAGGGGGGTGTAGCTTATGGCTGGAAGTATTGGGCTTTGATTCGTCCTGGATCGCTAAAGAACACTTTTTATTCAAATCAAGGTTTGCAATATGATATCGGTTTGCACAATGATTTCCAGGATCTCCTAAAGCTGGGTCTTTCTTGAGAAATCGAGAATGGTGGCAAACCCCAAACCCTCTAACCCTGAAGCCCTGAATCCTCGAACCCTCGAACCCTGAAACCCCGGACCTCCCAAAAGTAGTGGTTTGGCCAAACGTGCACTTCTCAAACCAAAAGTGCGTGCGCATGTTTATTTACAGAGGTTTGGTTCCCCAGGTAGGGTTTATTTAGGGTTTAGGG